CATGAAATTAGATTTAACTTAGCATGGAAATTTTGTATCGGGAAAAAGTTTATAAGAAAATTGCTAGTAATTGAGATATACGGATTTGGCGCCTAGTCAACCCTTCCCAGCCGGGATACAAACCCAGGGCAAATCACTTGCTAAACGCTTGGCGAGTGTCTTACCACTGCACCACCATTAAACTGATTTTGTGGTTTTTGTACCAGCTATTTTAATTTCACTGATATAAACTAAAATATATACAGTACACCTGTGGTCATAGGACCTACCCTTTAACATACCTTTCCCCCTCTCCACCCTTCTCTCCTCATCTCTCTCTGTCTCTGGAAATGTAATATTGAATTTATGTGCATACGGGGTGAGAATAGCTTGAGCTACCTCATCCCTTTGTATGTATTTTACCTCAATAAACTTATTTCAATTTCAATTCATGTGCATCGTTTTAGAGTGCGGGACTCTTGGGACCCGCCCAGCCACCTTTCACTAATTATGTGGAGGGGGGGGGGGAGGTTCAACAAATTGGGCCAGACCACCCTCTTAAAGGACTGACCTCGACCAGCCTTTGACCGTCGCATATCCCAGACCATTTTCCATGCAAAGTTGGGCGAGGCCATATTAAGCGTTTGGCCTACAATCTCATGCAGACAGAAAGAAAGACATTCTCTCTCTCTGACCTTCCCAACCATGTTAAAGACTGTACCTCTCTCAACCAGTTTAAGTTAAAAACGAAGCTATACCTAATAAATTCCCTGTAACCTACCTTACCCTTCTATTGTCAACCAATGTCTGTTTTTCTTTAAAGAGCGCTGTTTGTCGACATAATTGTATTTGTGCTGCTTTTTCATCTATGTTTTCATTTCTTGTTTTCATTCTACTCATTATGCTCAATTAGTATTAAGCTTGTCATTTAAGTTTATCATGCCCGAAACGCTTTGCGTAATAGTGGCTTTAGGCATTGTATGTACTAGCTCTACCTATAAGTCAACCAATCCTTGTAAAAATTTATTGTATGTATGTACCGTACCTAAATAAATTTGTATTGTATTGTATTGTATTGTATCTTAGGTATACTAAGGGTGGGAGTTCCTGGAATAGTCTATCTCTTCCCCCAATTGTCGCCCAACCACTTGGGCTGGATGGTAGGGCGACGGTCTCGCTTAGTGCAGGTCCCCCCCCACCGTCCCATCCCAAACCCTTATCCTGATCCCTTCCAAGTGCTGTATAGGCGTGGTGGCTTGACGCTTTCCCCTGATAGTTCCCTTCCCTTCCATCTTCCCCCATTTCCCCTCCTTTACCCCTCAGCTCTTTTGGGTTAGTATGGGGTGGTTAGACTCTGAGGTAGTAGAATTAACCCCCACTCTACAGTGATTATGGAGTCTGTTCCCAGTCCCCAAGCGGGACTTGCCAGACCTGTGGTACACTCTTGATCTCTTTGGTTTGAATCCCATTCCTTGCCTAACCCTTTTGTATAACCACTTTCAGACAGGTTCACTGGTTCTACAGACAAGCACTTGGATAGTGTTTCTGGGCCTGAGAGACATTTATAGCGCATCCCTGCTTGCCAGGTTCAGAGATTGGTTAGGAATCTCTGTTACCGCTTTTGGGTCCTGTTACATATTGTAATTTCTTCTATAGATGGGGATTTGATTCCTAGCTTACCTCGATGACTGGCTAGTTTGGGTTCCCAGACTGTGTTGTTGCAAGTTAGGAATCTGGTAACGTGGCGGAAATCCCAGTTGGTTCCTTTGAAGGTTCGAACATGGCTGGGCCTGGTCTGGGACTCTGTCAGATTCCCTCTTCCGAATGTGGCTCTGCTCTGCATGGATGCTCACCTCTGGCTAGTGTTGGAGAGTCCCAGGTTAACCAGTGGTTCTTTGAGTGGCTGTGCAAGAGCCTGAAATTTGCGTGCATGGTTCATCTCCTTGGCAGGGTTTGCCTCTGGGCTCTTTACTGGTTTCTTCAATTTTGTCCCTTTTGCCAACACAGAGACCATCGGGTACAGGATCCATTGGCCCTTCAATGGTTTGCCAGTTTCCTCTTCAGGCTATTTGGGGATTCGTTACCTGACACCTTCCTCTCCCAGGGCTTGACCTGTTTATGTATGACTCGGCCTTGGGTTGCGGCTTTGTGATCAATGCTCATTAGCTTCTCAGCGTCACTGGGCAGGTCCTCTTTTGTGTATATATATATATATTATATATAAATATATATATATTTATAAATACAAAAATAAATAAGAGTTCTTACATTCTTGTACAGCCACTAGCACACATAGCATTTCAGGCAAGTCCTTAATCCTATGTTCCCCGGAATACGACCCGCCAAATCGTTTAACAACCAAGTACCCATTTTACTGTTGGGTAAACAGAGGCTACAGTTAAGAATTGACGCCCAGTAAATCCTCTCCGGTCAGGATACGAACCCAGCGCTAAAGAAATGAGAGGCGAGTGTCTTACCACTACACGACAGGGACTGCTCTTCATTGGACACACTGCACAGTACATGAGTTTGCAGCAGTTTGACATGCACTGTGGCTTGTTCATCTTAAAGCAGGATCCAATCAGCTTGCTCTCTGGTAGTTCGTAATATGAATTTCAGGAGGTTGCTTTAGTCTATTTCTTTGTGGACTTGGACTTTTCCCACTTTACCATAAATCTTAGTGTCATCTGCAAATTTGGTTATGTGGTTTGTAATATTTCCATTAATGTCATTGATGTACATGACAAAATGGGCTAGCTCCATAATGGACCCCTTGCAATACCCCACTCACCACATTTCTCCCGTTACATGCATTTCCGTTTGGCATAATCCTTTTTCTTTGTTTTAACCATTGGTAGAATACTAGAATTAATACAACATTTATTCCACGTGCCTGCTAGTTTTTCATATGGTACCTTATCAAAAGTTTTAGCAAAGTCCATGTGTACTACGTCTACAGGAAATCTTTAAATAGTTTTTTACCATTTTAAAAAATGCAAGCAGGTTTGTAAGGCAGGATTTGTTTTCAACAAACCCATGTTGTGTTGATTTTACAAGATTGTTTAATGTGAGATTGCAAATGATTCTCTCCCTTAGGATTTTCCCCACGAGCTTGAAGATTTGCGAGGTCAGACTGATCAGACGGTAGTTTTCTGCCAAGCTCTGTCTCCCTTTTTTGAAAATAAGGGTGATATTTGCATATTTCCAATCTATTCCTTGGTTCAGAGATTTTCTGAATGGCCTAACTATTGGGTGGCTTGTTTTCAGAGTTGTTTAGACTTGCCTTGCTTTTGTCCATTTTGTTTTGCTCAACCTTTTTGGTAGAAATGTAGAGTGAAACTGCACCTCTGTGAGGAAAAGAAGGGGGGGAAGGGAAGGGAAGAGAACTATCAGCAGAAACTGCCTAGCCATTACGACTATATAGCCCTTGGAAGGAATCAGGATAAGTATTTGGGATAGAACAGAGGGTAGAGGAATGGTGCCCAACCACATGGCTGGTCGGGGATTGAATGCTGACCTGCATGAAGTGAGACAGTCCAGCCCAAATGGTTGAGGGAGGTTGAGGCGGCCAGGTTTTATCCTCTATTCCCCTGTTAGGCCTTTAATGAATTCCAAGGGTCTGGTATGACTTGAATTCGGTGGAATTAACTAGGTGGGTAGCAACAAGGAGCCGAGTTTCCAATAGAAAGAGGCATTTCATTACATTTAGTGCTGGTTTTTTGAAGTGGTCTCTCCAAGCATATGTACAATAGTCCAGATAGGGGTGCACAGGAAACTTGTATAGTTGAATCACTTTGCTCTTTTCCTTGACATCAAAGGTTCTTTAGATTGTTTTTCCTCGTCGGGCCCAATAGCTCTTCAGCCATTCCTTTTTTCTTGCGTTCCAATTCAGAAAATCTATAGAGCAAGGAAGAGTTCCCCTATATTGGTAATATGCAAATATCACCCTATCTTTACAATAAGCAGAAAACTATCAACCAAGCAGCCTAACCTCGCATATCCACAAGCTCATAGAGAGAATCCTGAAGGAGAAAATCATTCACCATTTCTTGGTGCATGTTGTAAAATTAACACGTGGTTTTGTAACAAATAAAACCTGCTTAATTAACCTACTCACTTTTTTGGAAATGATAAGCAGCTATCCAGAAAAAGGACTTCCGGTAGATGTAGGATACATAGATTTCTCTAAAGTTTTGGTAAGGTACTACTGTATATTAAAGATTGGCATATAAATTGCATGCATGGAATAAACTTGCTCTCTGGATAAAACAAAGCAAATAAAGGGGTTGTCCTAAATGGAAATGAGTCTGGAAAAATGTTGCAAGTGGATTAGTGAAGTTCCATCTTGGGGCTATCTCTGTTTTATAATAACTAATTATGGGGCACCTTGTAGACTGTACATCAATTTCTATGAAATCAGATGAATTGTTTAAAATTTCTCTTTATTGATTTTTATCATGCCTAATGTGTGTTGTAAATGTAAAAATCTCTTCAATTATTTAATCTCAAATTTTTTCAGAACCCTAACCATACTAATGAATACACAAGAGTGCCAAGTGAGCAGCATGGTTGCCGAATTTGTGGATCAAGTCAATAATAAAGGTTTATTGTATAAAATCTTTTTAAGTGGTGAGGCAAATTTCCACAAGTGTGATAAAAGTCTTCACATCACTCTTAAGATTTTATCCAATAAACCTTCGTTATTGACTTGATCCACAAATTCGGCAACCATGGTGCTCAATTTGCCTTCTTGTGTATTCATTATTATGGTTAGGGTTATGAAAAAATTTGAGATTAAATAATTTAAGAGATTTTTACATTTACAACACACATTAGGCATGATAAAAATCAATAAAGAGAAATTTTAAACAATTCATCTGATTTCACAGAAATTGATGTACAGTATACACGGTGCCCCAGAATTAGCTATCTAAATTTGGCTTCCTGTTGAGGCCACAAGAGATGGTGGCTCTCAAGTAAATATACTATGTACAGTAACTAGTAGGTCAACGATAAAACTATTATGAAGTGCATTTTTATTTGCTTTTTTCTGCTTGGACATTTTAAATCCTACAGTACTCTCCAAAAGTATGTGCCGCCCTGCACGAGGCAGCACGTACTTATGGGAAAAAAAAAGAATGATAATCTTTTGTATGAAATATGAGACCGAAGTATGCACCGGTACATGATGCCATGGTGTCCTTTAGCTCCCTGGAGGCTTAGTTGCCCCAGGCGAGTGGTTGTGTTGTTCATCTTGCTCTGGCGCCTTGTAGTGTTTTATTGCAGTTAACAGTAGTGTTGGTGGAATTATATTGTTTTTATGGCACCTACCACGGAACTAAGCAAAGACACCATTGCTCAGATCATTGCTTTAGAGGAAGCAGGCCACCAAAGAAAGTGAATTGTTGGGTGTAGCCTAGTCAATATGAGGAAGTATTGTGTGTTTTTGAGGAGGAAACAGTGGTGACAGGCCATCGCAGAAACATGGGACTGGTCATCCCAGGAAGACGTCTTCAAGGTCTGTGAACATTATAAATTGTTCATTGGCGAGTACCCCTTCATGTTTCCTGGAAGACGTCCTGTTTTCCTGGGACGACCAGACTGATGTTTCTGTGATGGCCTGTCACCACTGTTTCCTCCTCAGAAACACACAATACTTCCTAATATTGACTTGGCTACACCCAACAATTCGCTTCCTTACTTTGGTGGCCTGCTTCCTCTAAACCAATGATCTGTGCAATGGTGTCTTTGCTTAGTTCCGTGGTAGGTGCCATAAAAACAACATAATTCCACCAACACTACTGTTAACTACAATAAAACACTATAAGGCGCCAGAGCAAGATGAACAACACAACCACTCACCTGGGGCAACTAAGCCTCCAGGGAATTAAAGGACACCATGACATCACGTACCGGTGCATACTTCGGTCTCATATTTTATACAAAAGATTATCATTCTTTTTTCCCCGTAAGTACATGCTGCCTTGCACAGGGCAGCACATACTTTTGGAGAGTACTGTACATATATAACATATATTTAAGAGCATAACTGTCAATATAATAATAATAATCTGTATGTACATATCAGATCAGATATATAATATACATTTAGGTATATAATAAAGCATTCTCTGAGCTTTAAGTTAAGGGAGATAAAATATTCTTAGTCAAAATCTGGAAATGTCTTGTAATGCCTTAAAACTCTCACTCATTAATCTATTACTATAGTATCAAATCTCTTACTACGAGTGTTTCTACCTTTGAACACATGTTTAACTACGGTCACTTCATCACAGATTTTTTCTAGCCTTCGTTTCCTTGATCGAGTTTGTGGTCCAGGAAATTCATCAACTAAAGTACAGAGAGAGGACTTGAGAGGATTCTCAGCACCTTTGGTTTCTGAGACACCCGTCTGCATCCCACTAACATCACACCGTTCTTGAAATGCAAGGCACTCTTCCTGCTTCTTGCAGGACACTGTGGAACTGTTTGGTGAATTCATCTCTGAGGTGTCAGATTTAGACAATGTTTCAGTATATCTGTCACCTCTAGAGAAGTCAAAAGAACCTAGAGAACTGCCTTTTGAACTGCCTTTGGAGCGTGGACTTGGTAATGTAAGAACTAGGCTTGGTGTGGCAGGGAAGGACATTTCAGAAGGGGATTCTATACTTGAAAGGTATGCCTTGACTCTTGCTTCTCCGAAGTCAAATATACTTTCTTCCTTCTTCGGAGTAGCACCTAATGAAGAACTGCATCGATCTGATTTACTTGGCGTTCGAGCAGAAGTAAGGGAAGATGCCGATGAGGTAGAGGAGAGGGATGAGGTAGAAGAATGGCTTCGGGCATCAGTGGAGGACTTCTTGTTTTTCCGACGTTGAGCAAGACGAGCATTACTAACGTCCTAAAAATAACAAAAATAAAGTATTATGAAACCAGAAAAATTTGTAATGTTATTGATAAGTGTTTTAAGTGGCTGTAAATATTTACTGAACAGAAATTGATTAAGCAAATTTAATTTTAATGCATAGTGTAAATTCTCACTCCAGTACACTATACAAAAGTAATGGAGAGAGCAAATTAAAGTAAATAAGCTTTAATATGATTGTAAATTAAATAATGAACATTTGAATGCATTCTTCACTGACCAGTAATCGAAATCCTTCTCTAGTAGCCATATGGAATGCATGAAAAGCTTGCTTGACCCCAGCTTCAGCAGAGACTGGGCCATTTAGGGTAGGTCGGGCACTAAGAATTGTAGGGGTCATGAGGGGAGTGGCTGAGAACACCGATGGTGGCCCACCCTGAAGCCACTCATCTTGGAGCAATTCAGTGATAGTTAGACGTCTTGAGGCATCTACCGTTAAAAGTCCTGAAACAAAAGTTAAATAAAATATTACTAGAGTATCCTGTACTTTTGGTACATGGTACTTAATGTGTGCTACATGTAAATGTATTAGCTTTGCTCCACTAGCACAGGTAGCCGAGGAAGAGGTTTGGCAACGAAGAGTCCATGTCAGCATCACAATGTGTCTTTTTTCCTCTCGAATCAGAGGCAACATAATAATCACTACATGCCTTCACTCTCCTGATCACCTCCAAACACAGCATCACATGGTGTACATATTAAATATGCATTTTATGTAACAACTACCACTAATATGTCTCTTCTATACATTTTTTAAATAAAAATTACTATTATTATATCCACTCATACTGCAAAGATGTGAAGACTGTTATTTAAACAATCAGATGTATTATACATATTAACCAATGAAATGTCTCAAAATTATTATTTTATGTCACTGACATAAGCATCACTAATGTAAGCACGGGTATATAAAAAAAATACAGAAGGCAACTTCAAAATGAATACATTTAATTTTCTTTGTAGCAAAATATACAGCATTCTGCATTGACAATTTAAGGAATATTGTTTCACTGTACTTAACAATATAAATTATTAACTATACCTTTGATAAGTTTCTTGGCTTGTGATGAAACAGTGAGCCACTCTGGCCCAGACATGTCAAAACTTCCACCCTTAATCCGGGCAATGATGGATGCCGAGGTGTCGTCTTTACTTCTGGACTGGAAAGGAGCTCTGCCTGACAACATTGTGTACTGAAAAGAAATTTGTTATTAATTCTTTGATATCAGATAAATATATCACAAACTAAAAATATTATGGAGTGTGCATATCCCTTTAGCTCTCCTTGACAACGAACAATCTAAAAGTTTACATAATATCAGTGATGTGGTTCTTCCTTTCTAGCCCTACTCTCATCCATACTCTTAGTTTGTTATTATGTTGCATCAGTGGCCAATGATCCCTCCCACTTACAGTACCTAAATTTTACACAGAAATGTATAAACTGACCCAGTAAAAATGCCTTTCATGACTTTTGCATCTTTCACACTATTTTTACATTATCAATACGGATAATCAGACTGTTAAATTGCTTTTGCTTCCATTCTCCTTTTTGTATACCTGTGTACTTGATAGAAGCAAACCCTTTTCCACACACACACATCTATCCCACAATACTAATTTGGACCCAACATGCCCTCACTCTTTGGCTTCTCTACATTCATTCTCCACCCTAACATTGATATCCCCTAGTGCATTAACTTTCCTGCCACCTTGTTATTTCTCCACAATCATTCAGTTGGTACCAGAACACTATTATCCTCAGGGAGGACCATTGACAAGCTGTGGTGGCCCTCTAGTACAGTGTATTCAATTATGTAAATTCTTTGCTATAACAATCTCTTGGCAGACTTCAGCATATGCAAATATGAATGCCCCTCCCTCTCTCTCTCTCAACTTATCTTATGCTTGTTCCCGTATATTCTTGAATTATCACTCATACCCCATATGTACTCCCTCATTCTCTGATATAAATAAATCTCCATCTTTTCATCCTTCTATTATTTAACCATTTCTGACCTCAAAATTAACCCCTCAAGTCCCTTTCTGTTAAGATGCATCTAACTTGCACTTACCACATCTACAGTATACAGTACTGTATATTTATACAATATACTGTAAATTCTTATCTCATGCTGTCCTCATTTGGTTGCCCACAGTTGGGGACAGGAAGCCTACCAAGTTTATCTTAAGTTCCCAGGCTAATTATTCACCCAATCCAGAATGCAACCCAGAACAGTTTTCTAACTACCCTGTACCTATTTATTTCTAGGTGAACAGAAGCATCAGATGAAAGATGATGTTGCCCAAAATGTTTCTGACTGCACTGACCAATATGCCAAAAGTCTATACAGTTTTAAATATGAATACTAACTTCTTTTATTATTTGGACTGTTGTTTCCAATAATAAATAATGATGTAATTGAAAACAATACATACTGTATTTGTTAGTTTACTAGCTAGGGATATACAAGATGCCAGTTTGATAAGAAGTAAAACACTTCTCCAATTTGTGCACTTACGAGAATAACACCTAAGCTCCACCAGTCGCAGGTCTTGTCATATCCAGCAGCTCCTTGTTGAATCTGTCGCAAGACCTCAGGAGCCGCATAGTCGAGAGTGAAGCATGGAGTTTTCATATTGCCATCTTTATCCTTATCTGGTATCAAGCGAGCAAACCCAAAATCTACTATTTTAATCTCCGAATCTTCCGAGGAATTTTTGAACAGGAGATTCTATAGAAAAAGAATAGATATTTATTAATTTAGCTTGTGGAAATATATAGAATGAAAAGATTATACTGGTATATACATATACAGTATATATACTGTATATCTTGCGGAATAAATGGCAACTTTTTAAGATTAATACTGTACTGTACATGTACTTGTTAAAATGATTTATATTTTATTAAATTTCCAAATTCCTTTTGATTTATCATAACCACACATAATACAAAAGTTGTGCTATACTTTTGAAGTACAGTACAGGATGATAAATACAAAAAAATACAACAATACAAGAACATAAAAGTACAAGTTTATATAATTGTACGATAATTTTATAACAATAATGATTTTTTCTAGTAAAATAAAATTCTTACCTCAGGCTTCAGGTCCCTGTGTACAATGCCTTTTCTATGCATAAAGTGAACAGCAGATACCAAGCTTCGCATAATCACCGATGCTTGTGCCTCTGTAAACCGTTCATGTTTTCTTATCCGCTGAAGTAATTCTCCTCCTCCTAAGAGCTCCATGACTATGTAGGTGTGTGCCTTTAAAATAAAATATAAATTTGCTCAATTTATGAACTTTTGTAATATTGCCAAAGAATATTTCATTAAACACACAGCAATATATATTACAAAATAAATATTTTTCTTAAGTGAATAGGCATGAATTTTTCTTGAAGTAAAGTACATTCTATTTACACAATATATATACTGTACTCGAGTTGGGGTGCATCATGCAATAGAATGCAGAAAACTCAAAATGTATATGTAAACTGAAAAACTGTCAGCAGTCACCTCCCCTCAATAAAGTGTCTTCTATCGGAACAATTGCCACCACCATTACATATACTGAATAACTCCAGCACTTGACCTTAAACCTAAACCATAATATAACATAACTACTACCACCTTGCCATAAGAATCCTAATTCAGCATCTGAATAACACCCCCAATTACTAAGTTCCCTCCAAAAGCAGGAATTTGATTTCAATATGAACAGTACTGTACTGTCAAACAATAATGAATTGTTATCAATTACAGTACTCAGTGAATACATGCCCGAAACGCTGTGCGTATTAGTGGCTTTAAGTATTGTATATACAGTACTAGCTCTATCTATGAATCCAACATTATGTTTGTAACCCATCTTCTATGTATGTACTTTTACCTGAATAAACATTTCGATTTTTGATTTGTTCTTCCATCTGAGTATAACCAACCCTGTCCACCACTTGCTTATATGCCACTAATGTGAGATAATACTGTAACAATAAAGGACATTGTCTTAACTAGTTAACTATCAGACCCCTTCCTAAGACCTCTCTCCTTACAGAGAGAGGTCTGTAAGGAATACACTGTTAATTACCTTATCAACTCAATTATAACTTCTGTACACTGGTATTGACCTTTTCTTGGTATGCCTGGTAAACTAATTCCCCTCTAATTCTTACACTCTTACTTGCTGCTGTTGCCTAATTAATAGTTCCATGCTATGTACTGTGGTCAAATGTTAATTTTGTTCAATTTCAAAACCATGATAGTTTACCTCATCGTAGAAAACTTCATGGAAGGTAACGATGTTGGAATGTCCTTGGCATACGCGGAGGAGGTTAATTTCTTGTTGGCAATCCAACTTCCGAGAAACAATTTTGACAGCAAAATGTCTCCCAGTTGACTTTTGGATGCATTCTCGACATACACTAAAACTGCCTTCTCCTATTATGCCTTCTCGTAGGTCCACTTCATAGTGTTGGAAAAATGCAGAATCCTGAAAAATATTGTTTTCATAAGTATCATAAATACTGTAATAACTAATATTGTACATTGTTCTATATATTCTTATTCTTAGCTGAATTTACCTCAGGTCCACAATCTCTCCAGTGGCCTCAAAGAGGGCGAAGCTGGCAGCTTGTCAAATGTCCCCCTATTGTTCCCAAAGACTTTTTTTTCTCCAGGATGTAATCCCACAACAGTTTCCTAATTCCTGGGTATCTATTTACTGCTAGGTGAACTTAGGCATCGGGGGAAATGAAATGTGCCCAATAATTTATGTTTGCCTGGGAGTCAAACCCAGGATTCCAGATTGTGTGTGGAGAACGAAGAGGTACTATCAGACCCTTAAGCCCCATTTTATAACCTCATGGGTGAATAAGCCTCTTCTTTTTTCTGTCCTACATTGTGGCTTGTTGAGCTTGAAACTGTTACCCTTGTATGCAATACATTTGACCTTTTAAGGAAGTAGTCTGGATTAATACCCCCAACATGTTCAGTATTTTAAAGGTCTCCATGAGATCAGCCCTGTCATGATTGGATTGCAGTGTTTTTTATTAGAATTTGGGGGTTCGGTCCCTGAACCCATTATGTGCCTCTCACCTTTTTTACTACTGCCCACAATATGGGTATGGGGTGCATAATAAACTAAACTTAGCCGTGAACAAATGGAATGAACTAAGAAGTGAGGTAATGGAGAGAGACTAGTCTCAAATGTAGATATGACAGAGCCCAGTAGGTTCTGGAACACACACAACTGAAGGATGAGAGACAGGAATAGAAAGTCAAAGCTCAAGCACAGCTGCCCTAATCACTCCTACTCCACCCAACACACCAATGTTCCCCACCCATTCTTGAAAGACCAACCCCATTTCCCACAAATATCTACTTTTCCTCTCACCCACTCTTACCAGATAAATTGAATATATTGTTTTCATATTCAAAAAACAAAAATAAAAATGCTTACCTTGAAACTACAGGCCATGAGGTTAGTTGTGGAGGGTCTTCTGTCGGGTGACATCTTGTAGAGAGAATCGCTAATGACATTTTCAGTGAAGAGAATCGATGGAGCCACGTAAGAATAACCCTGTCAAGAAAAATTTATTACTCATCTTTAAAAATGCCATTTTTACCAATTTTAAAGCAATTGAAATGTGAAAGGTAAAACTAATTTTTTAATTTGTTTGTTGTCCCTCACAAAATGGCCAGCCTTAGGTCAAATGATCTTATTTGACCAAAGAGGACCTCTCACCTATGGGAAGACCCCTAAGGTAGGGCTGGCACCTTTAGCTTTGAGAAATATGGAATGCCCTACAGAAGAGGTTGGAAAATTCTCAAGATCATTTACAGAAATAAAATTGCTGAATATTAATTTTATTTCATCATTCCTTCTCAGTCTTCACTAACTGGTAAAGTCTGGAAATTTAGCTGATTTAGAAACCTATATGCCCATCACAGAAATGGAAGCACTACAGTCAATTCTTTTTTCTTCATACTTTGTAAAGTCTCTGAAAATCCAGAAATTTCTGGCTTTGAATTAAGGCTACTGGATTTTCAAGTTTTGTACTTTTTCTATGTACATTTTTGACAATTACAATCACAGTGGTGTCAAGGAAAAGGAGCCTTTTCAAATTATATATAGAATGTGATAAAACAACTCTCAAACTTACAAAATTTTGAAAGGAATTGCAGAACAAAGCAAGACTTCTTTAAGTCTTGTTTCAACACATTTTTGGGAGGCAAAATATAAGCTAATGTAGATAGTTTTATTGTTAATGCAACATAATATATTACTGACACCTAATTTACAGTAATCCAAGTCTAGGAGACCTCACAAGAACGGTCCAAATTGAATCTCACAACTGCTATGGCCAGCCCTGCTTACAAGGAACAAAAAGGTGAAAGCATAACAGTTAAGTGAGAGAGAGAACTGGTAGGCAAGTACTAAAGACTATGACCAAATGATTCTTAGCATGATGTATACAGGGAATTCATGAATACGAATGTCAAGGAAATACAATTGCGTAAGTATTAAAGAAAAACTCACGAGGAGAATATCTGCTAGAATCTATTTATACTTACATTAAATATTCTGTCAGTATCTGGAGGAACAATAGCTGGAGAATCCTGAGGAACCATTGCTGTGAATTCTTCGGAGAAGTTACTGACATCCAACTCGCCACTTATTCTGGGTACAAATGGTGCAGGTACTTTTTTTTGAGCGAGGTCATCCCAGTTTAAAGTCTGTGGAAAAATTTATGATAATTCATTACCAAATTACAATAATTGTGTTGGGGGGATAGACAGCCAGTGTTATATACATGTTAGACTTATATTGAGGTCTCCACCCCAGAGTTGAACTACTAATCCTTCCCAGGATACAACCCCACAACAAGCTGACAACTCCTGGGTACTTATTTAACACTAGATGAACAGGTGCATAAGGTGGTAGAAAACATGCCCAGGTTGTATGCTGTATTATGTATATGATATTTACTAGTCTAGCATCATTTGAACTTTATAGCAGTACTGTATGTAATCATAAAATATTAAAATCCTTCCTGACTAGTTTGTTTATAATGCAGAGTTGAGTTCATTTTCATACTTTACAGATATACAGTACTTTTGATATGAAGTACAGAGGAGTTTGGGTTAACAAAAAAATAAATACCAAGTAACCACAGGTAAACGGATACAGATAATATAAATATCCCATGGCTTTTTCAACAGTTATTGTATAATTGGGATTGGGGTAATTTTGATTTTAGTATCAAATTGTGTAGAACTGTTTTATTACAGTATTTGCATTTACAAATAACAAAAAAACTTGAGTCTTAAATTATTTGCATATAGATATACAATACTGCAGACAGTTCAGTCCTAGTTACACTGAAGTACTTTTGATAATTGAGGCTCCACTTTAAGAACTCTTCACTTACCTTAAAAAATGCATGCTCTTTGATTTCTTTAGCATCAAGAGGGCCTCCTCCTAGCCGTTGACGAGGATCCTTCACTAGTAGACGAGAAATGAAGTCACGAACCTCAGGGGACAATTCACTTGGGAGTGGTGGCTGTGTTTTCAGGATACGCCTATCAATAAAAATACAATACTGTACAGTATTTGTAGAATTTAAACAATAGAAATATATTCTTTGTTTATGTTCATGTTCATTTGTACATGAATAAATTTGTTCAGTTATACTGTACATCAACAAATTTGTTCATTTATACTATATATTTGTTCATTTATACTATATATTTGTTCATTTATACTATACAGATATTTTTAGCAAAGTTTTCAGATACCATATACTTTCCAGAGATCATTTAATTTTGCCTGAAATGCTTAACATGTTAGTGACTTTGCAAGAAAGTACAGTACCACAATCATTGACATATGTACTTTCACAACCCATTGTACCTTCTTGTATATACAGGTATACAAATACAAAAATCAAAATTGTATTTATGACAAAATATTAAGAAATGATTTCAGTGATTTCATAGTAGACACCTGTACTGTATTTTTTACAAAGGCAATAATAACAAACAGCATTCTAATCATACCTTAAGATTAATGTAAGGTTTCAATCACAGTACTGTAATACATAATTGAGTTAATACTTAATACCACAAAATGGTAGTTTTCCATAGTTGGGGACAGTAAGCCTGTTAGGCTTATTTAGGCTCCCTGCCCCCCCCCCCTAGGCTAGTGGCTGAACTCTTCTAGGATACATCCCACAACAGTTGCCCAACTCCTGGGTATTTGTAAATTGCTAGGTGAATAGAGGCATCAGATGAATCAAAACACTGCTCAGATGCCTCTGTCCTGCCGCGGGAATCAAACCAGGACTCTCTTGCCTGTGACTCGATTGGACTTGTCATTGAACCATAGAACCCCATTCCCTGGGTATCTATTTACTGCTAGGTAAACAGGTCCTACATTGTGCATTAATTACACAAAACACACAACAGTAACAATATTCCTAAGTATTGTATTTATATAATACCTCGAGATCTCCTGCTGATTATTTTTCTCTCCTTCCACGGTGAATGGTGATGCTCCCGTCAGAAGTTCATAGGTCAATACACCCACACTCCACCAGTCTACTGCCTGAAATCATAATTTCCATTGTAATTCATATTCCTCACAATTTTGTATACAAAATATTCTACACCAAATGTACTTCATTAAAGTTCGTATACAGTATCATCTAAGTTGTCTTTCCAATTGAATGAAGTGGAACTGGTGCCCCAAGTCCCAGCAATGCTGACTTTATATACACACTATATTTCATTATAAAAGATCAGCCTAAGGGTAGTGAGCTCTTATGTTTCATTTATGTGCAACTTTGGCTGTTTTAACAAATCAAAACTACTTACAGTGTAAATTCAGGTAATTTTATTTACTTGATAAGGTGATTTTAAGATTTGTTATAATTATTATACAGAGACATTAATTACAGTATACTGTAATTAATTACAGTATACTGTAATTAATGCAATACAGTATATAAATTATAATCTTTATATTATATATAATTTTATATTATATATACTGTATTAATAATATTATACAAATTAATATTATACCAAATCTGACTAATCCACATAATTCTCTCACCTGGTCATGCCCATGAGATCCTCCACGAACTACTTCTGGTGCCATATACTCTATAGTACCACAAAAAGAGTATGCACGATGTTCCGTGTCATGCGAAAGAAAATCCTTGCTAAGGCCAAAATCTGTTAGCACGATATGCCCATCTGAGTCTAGGAGAATGTTCTCTAGTTTTATATCACGATATATTATGCCCAGCTGTAAAGAAAATGTGAAATGTTAGTTTAAAGCAAATATTGTACAGTACTGTATTTCCTAACTTGTTTCACAGTTTAAGAATATCACTCTTGAGCTATATAAAATCTGTTTCATAAAATATAGTTTTTTTTTGTAATCAACCATTTTTTTTCAATTTACCAATTTTTGTAATCAACACTTCTTCAGAACATGTTCATTCCTTACTCTATTCTCTGAACACCGCACATGCTTCTCAGATTATTCATTTCTACTGCTCAAACATTATTTTCCATGTTCATCCCACACCATCTCTCAGCTAATCATCATCTCGTAACCATACAAATTTCTGGTTACATATTTGCCTACATCATTTTTTTCCTGACCAGGTTTTCATTACACTAGCCACTTCCCTTCCCTGATTGATCTTACACTCAAATTTTATTGTGCAAATTCCACTGTTAGCAACTGCACATCCTAGGTACAGTATTTAAAATGATTGACCATTTCTAGCACTAAATTATTCCCATCTATTTATTACTCAGAATTTCCTTCTGTCTCCATTACTTTTCTCTACATTCACTTTTAGCAGTCTTCTCTCTCTCTCCACCCTCAACAATTTTTATTTTGTCCAAATAACTTGCCATGCTAAAAAAGCTTCATCACCTACATACTGGAAAAAATCATCAGGGCAAATGGGGGGGGGACCTTTGACAAGCTGCCAGCTTCCTGTCCTCATCGAGGCCACTAGTATTAGTGCCCTCAGGTAAAATACTGTATATCAAATTTTTACATGCTCTGTTTACTAGGATTATAATTAGGGTTATACACTATATTAAAAATTAGGCCTGGTCGAGGACTGGGCCACGGGGACGCTAAGCCCCGAAGTCATCTCAAGATAACCTCAAGATAGGTTTATACCCCTCTAGCATTCATACCTTGACCTCCCTTATGACCCCCCACCCCATCTATGTATATACTCTTATTGCCATCACACAAACCTAGTTACTGTCTTTTTAAATTAATACACAGTAAGTGTATGCCATCACACATACACTTACTATCCATTAATTTAAAACAAATCATTCATTATGTTAACTCGTATATGCACTACTGCCTCGAGAGGAATTTTTCAAGGCATTGAACAGAAATTGCCTAACTCCATGCATGCTTATCACAGTATTCTACTTTTCTGTTTTATTTAATCAAAATTTTAAGTGTCAATGATTTTACATGGGTATTTTCAAAACTGCTAAATCTGAGATAATTACAGTACATTCTGAGAACAAACTACTTGAGAACTAACATTTTTGCCAATGGAATATCTTTTTGAATGATTCAGACACTGCTGCATCATTGTAACACAAGAATGGTAAAATCTCTGGAGCTTTAACTTTACAGTGTTTTTTTAAACTTGTGTATTTACCAATTCACTTATTACAATTCTATTCAATGCTCACTTTGTGCAAATGCTCGAGGGCAAGGATGATTTCTCCGATGTAGAGACGAACCTCATCCTCACGAAATCTTTCACGCTGATACAGGTGTGTAAAGAGTTCTCCACCACTAACATAGTCTGCCAAAAAAGAATAAAAGTATATTTTAAATTATTAAGAATACTGTACAGTATTAGTAATGATAAAAGCAGTCATTTCTACTACCTCTAAACTGAAATACACTGATGGAAAACAAACCCATGCCTACTTTTACAAGAGATGCTTCGAGTAATTTTATATTGACATGTTGAATATTTTTCTTGTTAATTTTTACCAGGTTCCAACCCATACTAGCTTTAAAAGTTACAATAATAGTCAAACATACAGTACTACAAAATTTTTAACTATGTCTATAAATTTATAAATACATTATATAATAAAATGCATTAAGTTTATCCTTATTTAATACTGCAAGCATGCCATATATTTTCTAACATAAGAAATGCAGTACAATACAGAACAATTTTAAGGTATACAGTATTCATATACAGTATTTAAAATAAGATATTGGGCCAGAGTACTGTATATAAAAAAAAGAGGAGTCGACTGCAGCCACCAGTGAAGAACTAGACAAGGTACACTTAGTACCTGGTATAATATAAGGCTCAAAATACAAATAATGGTTGTGTAGCAGAGTAAACAGCAACAGCAGAGGAAGCAGTAGACTTGCATCAAATTATAAAAACAGAGTCTACCGGACAAGCTCTTATAAAAGTGGATTTTAACCCAAGAGCTATAGTGTGCAATGATTGGGAAAATAATGCAAGCAAGAGAATAACAATTTCAAGACTTTTATATAAGACTCCTTTCTCAAATGATATAATATGTTAATCCAAACCACTTCCTTAAGATGTTCAATGTAACTCCTATGTCAAGCTGACCAAGCCTTGATGTAGGAAATAACAGGATTTTTTTTTTTGTACCTTTTAAAGCTGTAAATACTAAGACTGCTATATTTCAAAATATAATTGAAGAATTATATTTTGAGAAGAAATAAAATAATAATAATTGGGGGACCTTTCACAAACTACTCATTGTTTCATATGGATTAACATGGTTTGGATTGGATTGGATTGGTTTGGATTAACATATTATATCATTTGAGAAAGGGGTCTTATATAAAAGTCTTGAAATTGCTATTCTCTTGTTTGCATTATTTTGGGACCAACAGATATAATAACTGGTAACATTACTCGTTCCCATAACCAATTCATACAAAACAACTTTAGCAGTAATAAACTGCAATTAGTGTATCACAGCAGTAACAACAATCAAAGGAACATGATGCTCTTCATAACTTTCTCATTGGCAGCTATAAATATAGCTAATCATGTTTAGTCTGCATGATATCGAAGAATGCCAAAGTTTTTCAATATCATACAAAGTTTTTGTGAGAATTAAAACTATTATAGAAAGTTATTACTTTTACTGTACTTTTATGGTGTTTGATAATTAGTAGTAGTAGTAGTAGTAGTAATAGTAGTATCATCATCATTACACAAGAAATCACATTAACGTAATATATCAAACAACAAATCCATAGGAGCCTTGATGAGGGTTCGAACCTGCAGTAGCACTCCAGGTTGCAATTCTTTTAACATGTCGTGGTACAGTCGACTAGAGCGCGTCTGGGAACATCCAGCGCATAGGTTCGAACCCTCGTCAAAGCTCCTGTGGATTTGTTCATATTATCATTATTATTATTATAAATAGTACAGTAATTATACTTTACATGCATGCATTACATAATCCAAAACTAAAGGGTTATAAAATGTCACAATTGCAACAAAAATACTGTACTAACCTAAAATAAGATGAAGCTTGGCATCTGTCTGGAAGGCATAGTGAAGTGTAACTAGGAAAGGACTTTGTCTCACAGCCTCCAACACCTGACGCTCAGTCTTTGTGTGCTCCGTTGTCTTTTTCTTTTGGACAATAGTTGCCTTCTTCAAGACTTTCATGGCATACAATTTTCCCGTGTCTTTACCAGAGTTTTTTCTTACTAGGAAAACTTTGCCATATGCTGGAAAAAAAAGTTAACTTCAGTTAAGAAATTATTTATCAAGAAGTAGACGGTATTATTATTTAGGATAAAAACCCACACTTGTGTATTTGTGAAATTTATGTTAGGAATTTGCACCGTCTTTTGCACTCTACCGAGTGCTTTATCAAGGTCCGAGTGTGTGAATAGGACAAGACTTACATCTCAACGTCTGATTAGACGTTGACTAGACGTTGAGATGTAAGTCTCGTCCTAATTACACACATAAACCATGACAAAGCACTCAGGAGAGTGCGAAAGACTGTGTAAATTCCTTGCATAAATTTCACAAATATACAAGTTTGGATTTTTATCCTATGTTATTATGTCTGGGAGAAAACATTACCATTACTGAGTACAAGTGTTTTTTATAATAAATAATAATCAGCAATTATTATTAATTTATTTATTAACCAGCATTTTCCAATAACAAAACCGATGGGAAATTAGTCTGTCCACCTCAATAGTGAGCAAGAACCAATAAATACAGCCACAATTAATTCAACTGATTATATCAGTACGAAAACTGAACTAAAACCCATAAACACTAAATCAGTCACCTTTTCTGTCTCCCTTCCCTTCCCTTCCCTTCCCTTCCCTTCCCCCTGTGTCTGTTTCAGTGTGCATACGTGTGATCATCTTTTTTAGTACTGTATTATGTTATTTAAATATGCCAATGCAATTCCTATCACCATGGCATTTATATTAATTTTAGTCAAATAAATTATTTGTAACAAGAATGAGTTGTACATCACATTATTAAGCTAAATAAAATTAATAATGTTTAACATTATAATGTGATTGAAGCTGTTTGACGCTTAATATCACAGCCAAGGAATGAGCGTAAGTTCTCGTCTTCAACAAAAGAAGGCAACTTATTGGCTGAAGAGATGGTTACGTCATCAGTTTTGGTAATATAATGTTTATGACTGAGAAAGACATTTGCTCAATAAGTAGTTCAACCATTAGTTCATTTCCTAAAACAAAACAATGAACTGCGTCCACATAAAATTAAACTATTAATATTACAAGTCAAAGGTGTCATATATTGTTAAATGAACGATGTTTGTGGTAATTTAATTTCCTTAGTAGTTTGTGTTTCCTTAGCCACGTTTTCCTTACCTGAAAAAATTAACTCAATGTATCATGCTCTGTTGTTAAACTTCAGTGCATAAAGGTTTTCCAGAACTTGTGATAAGGTATCTCCACATTAACTACGGCAAATTATATACATGTTTCACCTTGTGATTTGCTACAGCTCTAGACAGGATGCCAGTTAGGCTTATCGAGGGGTCCTTTAGCCACCTTTATGACCTTCCTCAGGATGCAACCCACAACAGTTACGTAATACCCGGGTACATATTTACTCCTAGGTAAACAGAGGCATCAGGTGATAGGAAACGTTGCCCAAACGCTTTTGTCTTGTCGCAGGAATCGAACCCAGGGCCTTTAGACTGTGACACGACTGCGCCAGTTTGATAAAATGATATACCATACCTGGTACTACAGAAGCTAAAAATATTGACACGCCAGTAACAAAATATGTCAAACGTAAGTAGGCCAGATGCAGGATGTAGGTCGAGCAAGGATCGATGATGTGATCTAGAAACCTAACCAACTAACAACGAATTGGTTATCATCGCTGCAGTATCTATTGTGTATGTATCTATTGAGATGAGCGAGCAAGCCCGTCACGTAACGAGCTTATCATGGGTGCTTATTGGTGACGCCACCACATCTTAGGGTAACTTTTTTTTTTAATATTGAAAATAACTTTTCAATATTTCACACCACTAAGCTTCTCTCACTGGCGACCACCCACACATTACACAATTATATTTTTACACTCGAGACAGACAAGGAGACAGATGGATGGATGGATAAATTGGACGGATAGGTAGATGGATAGACTGATGTATAGACAGAGTGATAGATGGACATATGGATGGATAGATGGTCTAAATAGGTGGATTGATCGACACAGATGGACAGATAGATGAAGAAATAGATGGTAGAGACCCCGGGGAACGCCGGATCCCCCCTCCCCCCTAATACATATATAAATTTAAACGTCTGTTCGAGGTGGGAAGGGTAGAGGGTTGGGAGATGGGGAGCGAGGACAGATAAGGGGCAGGGTGTGGTGAAGGTGGAATATGTTAAAGATAAGAGGAAGAGGAGGGGTGGGGCATGGCAGTTACAGCTGTGCTCCTGTGTCAGGTAAGTTACGGGCTCACCATAGCCCGTGCTACTTGGAACTTGTTCCGAGTAGCTGAATCTATAACAACAACTAACAACAAGGGATAGGAGAGGAAGTGCAGGGGGGGGGGGTAAAGAAGAGTGGAATGGGGGTGAGGTGGTAAAGAGAGAAGTATCCCACCTGGTACCCCTCTTGGGAAACTAAAAAATAATAAATGGGGAAACTCGCCATCTTGCATTCTTTCTTTGCAGTTCTCGAGACTTGAGCCACTATTGACTATAGTCGCTCCACTGCCATATGCCCCTCACGAAATCTATCAAAGGTCACCAAACTACCTTATCACCACCACGGTAAGTTATACAATGCTTTTGTTTACCTTCAGGTGTCGTTATATTGATATATTTCATCCATGCACTAGGCAGTTCAACAGTCCTCTAAAAACCTATATACGGAAATGGATAAAGTTGTACAGTGAACTGGACCAAACAAAAATTACGTATAATTTATAAAACAGTACAGTATTACTATTTGTAAAGTCTACCATCTACGCAATCAACAAATTACTTATAATGTCCTTCATTTGGGCATTCGGTTTTCATCAGTGTCCGTTCATTCAGCCCGTTCTCCCGAGCGTTCACATCACTTAAACTGTTATACTAAATTGCCCGAACCTAACCTACCCGAGTACCCACGAACAGAAAACGGAACATCACGTCAATTTAGTCAATCAGTTTTTGGCCTTAGCGATACTATACGTCAAAATGCGATGTACTATTCAGGAGAACGGGTGGGTTCTTATATTACCCATTCCACATGTCTTTGTGGGCCCCTGTGAGATAATCCCATCTCCCCCCTAACTCCTCTGCATTCCAGTGATGTACAGTAAGTGTAAATTCTTTTAATTTTCTTCTAAGTTTTCTCAAACTTGTTTTGTGTTGACTAGATAAGGACTGCCTCATATTCCTGGATTTGACTGACTTGTGGTATACAAGGTCCAGAATGATTCCCTGCTCATATTTCTAGAGGCAGATCTTAAGTTGGCTAATCTAGCACACACATGAAAGGCATTTATATTTTACTAAAGTTCGTCTAGCTTAATTTGACCAAGTTCCAATAGAGTAAAGCTTGATGAATAGTTTAAAAAGAGTTAAAAAAAAAGAGTGAACTCTAAAAAGAGTTCCATGTTCAACAATAGATTAATTGACCAACGGTTATATAATTAACTTAGTCCATTCTGTTATTAACATTGCAATTACTGGGGAGAGCATTATACAGTTTATTTTAGGCTATTCTTGCATGTAATCTATAATGTGATCAATTGGTCATGTGGTAACTGTCTTGCACATATGGTTATCAATCGCGGTCTTTGTCACGTGGGGAGGGGGGGGGCAGAGGGGGAGATTTACTGGGGCGTAATTTGTGTGTGTACAAACCACTCTCCATCAGCTCAAGGTGGCATTTACATGTAAACTGACCAGTTAACAAAGGTAAGGTTATTGTGAGGAGTGGCTAATCCGGTATGAATACATAGCACTTGGGAAGAGATGTGCGGAAACGGTCCGGATTAATGCGAGGGGGAGGACTGTGATTACGAATTTTAGAAGACTATCACAGTTGCTGTGTATATTTAGTATAAACAACAACATTGTGACCTATGACTCGGTCCTGGTGTCGCCGATTGAATCAAACCTTTGGTGTTAAAAAGTTAATCTTTGATTTTGATGGCTAACTTTGATGCTAACCTTCATCAAAGTAAGAGAGATGTCGCCGATTGAGCCAAAGTTAACCTTAACATTAATCATTGATAACCTACATAAGAAAAGTGGAGAGGGTAATGATAAGCTGGGGGACACTCTGGAATGTAAATTATGTCCAAGCGGTTCCACAGTCTATATCGAGAGCCGCGACTCGAGGCTATCTTCTCAGTTGCTAGCAAGCCTTCTACTCCTTACTTTACACTCATTCCAAGGAAACAAGATTAAACCGACAGAAATTCAGCCAGACTTAATGTTTTGGGATTGCAGCGTGCATTACTAAATACGAAAATAACAGTAATTACCTTTAACTCGAATCATTGTTCAAATGCATCTATAACGCAATACATATATGCTATAGTTAAACGTTTACCGTAAAATATACATTTATTAACTGATATAATATGAATAATTAACGGGAATTTCTAACACGAAATATCAGTCAGTGAAAATTTTGGTTATAATGTTATAACAGCGTCCATATCAATGTCTTGAGACGTTACAGTTTATAATATGATAAAGTATCACCTAATCTTTAAAGAAAACGAACATTAACATTGTTAAAAGTGGAGAAAGTGGGCGAGAGGCGGATCAATACGAGTATGAAGGAAGAGGAGTAGCCCGCCACCGTGGTCCCGCTCAGCTGATCACTGCAACCACAGCTGGTGCCCCCACACCTCGGCTGGTGCCCCCCACACCTCGGCTGGTGCCCCCCACACCCACCTCGGCTGGTGCCCCCCACACCCACCTCGGCTGGTGCCCCCCACACCCACCTCGGCTGGTGCCCCCCCACACCCACCTCGGCTGGTGCCCCCCACACCCACCTCGGCTGGTGCCCCCCACACCCACCTCGGCTGGTGCCCCCCCACACCCACCTCGGCTGGTGCCCCCCACACCCACCTCGGCTGGTGCCCCCCACACCCACCTCGGCTGGTGCTTCCCCTCACCTTCCCCCCGGCACCTCAGCTGGTGCTCCTCCCCCCCCCACACCTCGGCTGGTGCTCCCTCCCCCCCCCCACACCTCGGCTGGT